TGAGACTAGGTGGCATCTGAACCCCAACGCCTCCAGGCTTGGGGCTTGCACAGAGGATGCCTGCCACGGATTTGGGAGTATCTGAAGCCCCAGGCTGAAGAGCCTGGGTGGTAGGATACTTGCTGGTGGTAGAGCCACACAGACTTGAAAAGTTGAGCTCTGTTCAGTTGATAGAATTTGGAACTGATCTGGCTAATTTGGCACAAATTAAAAAAAAAAATTATGTCCTTGTGGCAAGGCATTTAGCAGAACTTGCAGGTTTGTTGGAATCTGCTGGGGTTGCGCTGGTGGCCTGTGGCCTGTGCGCTGGTGGCCTGTGTTCTGATATGGCCTCAAACTTGCCATCTCTAGGCTGTCAGCTATGCGCCTTAGCACCCATACCATCCCAGCTCTGGCTTCGGACTAATATCATACATAGTGAGTGTGTCTACATGTGCACTTAATGTGCGTGAATAAACACTGGAGCTTATTGCTCTGGAGTTTTTTGCTTCTGGGCATGCTGTCTGAATGTGCGTCTGGAAGCAAAAAGCTCTGGAGCATATTGCTCCAGAGTTTATTCATGTGTAGCATGTGGAGCCTGGTCAGAGCAGCTGAGGCTGGGAGGGGACACAGGGGTCAGCCTGTCAGCCCAGGGCAGCTCCATCTGAGCTCCATGTGCTGCAGGGGGGGCTGGCTGAGACACAAGGGTGTGTCAGCACAGGGGCTGCTCAGCATCATGTGGAGCCTGGTTGGAGCCCTGGGTCCTCTGCCAGCCGAGGCTGCTCCAGCTGGGCTCCATGTGCTGTGTGGGGCTGGCTGGGGCACAAGGGTGCTTTAGTGCAGGGGCTACCTGCCAGCTAGCCCTGTGCTGAAGCATCATCATGCCCCAGCCAGCCCTGTTACCATCTATACATGCACTGTGGTGCATGAAACAACACTGCCGCAGGGTAGTATTTGTGTTTAGCCGAGCTACCCTGCAACAGTGTTTATTAGTTTACTGCAACATAATAGGGCCACACACGTAGATGGTGATGTTTTACTGTGGAGTCGCATGTAGATGGTGATGTTTTACTGTGGAGCTAATTAGTCAGCTCTGTAGTAAAAGTTTCATGTAGATGTGCCCAGTTTGCATTATATATGAGCAGATACAAAAGTACTGCTCAAAAATGTGTTTATGGAATACATGTGCTAAAACTTGCAGCATTTTGCAAAAAGATAAAAGCATTGGTTGTGGGTGAACTAAGTCTGTGAACATTTATTTCAAACCCATTTATTTCAAAGTCATGTGTTTTTTTTTTGTTGGGTTTGGGTTTTTTTTTTGGTGCCTTGCATTTCAAATTAACAAGATTTTACTGTAAAGAGTTTCTCCAAGACTTTTTCTGAATTATATTGTTGTTTGCAAGCATACTTCTAAATTGCTGTCTAGGAGAAGGGTAAACAATATTACAAAATGTTGCCAAACATGAATCAAAGTACAATATGATTCATAACAAACTCATTGGGTGCTTAGAGGAACACAGTGCCACAGTACAGACTTAGTGCTTCCACAGTGTCTGGGGACGTCTCTCAAACTGAGAGAGCTGTCTCTACTCGTTAGTAAACCAAAGATAGTTCTTCATGCTTCCTAACCAGAAATTGAATGAAATATGATGGCTTTTGAGAGAGATCTTTTTTGAACCAAATAGCGAATAAATGGTAATTAAGCACCTTTTCTTTGTCTGGCTGTGTATGTAGTTGATGTTTTGGAAGAGTTTACACACCAATAACTTCCAGCACTTCTTGGACCCCTTCCTCTAAGATTTTGGCAGCCTCTTTCCTGTGCCAGTGGGGTACAACTGATAGTCCAGGGGGTGCTGACAGGTAGAAGTGAGATTTGTTTTTTGCTTGGTAATCCTTCTTCCTTGTGGGAGCTCAGCAAACCCACTTATGAAATCTGTCAAACAATTATAACCTGTTGCAAACTATTTGTCATGTAAAGGATCCTTCAAATGGTATCTCAGAGTATCCCATCTTGGCACAAATCAAGACTGCCAATCCTGTTCTTCCAAAGTCACAGAAATGCAGGTTTGGAAGGAACCTTGAGAGGCTGTCTAATCCCTCCCCTTGCGCTGAGGCAGAATCAAACATACTTAGATTATCTTTGTCAAATGTTTATCTAACTCAGGGGTGTCCAACCTTTTTGAATGTGGGGCCGGATCACGAACTTTTTATCACCCAGTGGGCTGGCAAGCC